CAGGACAGGGTTCAGGCAGGAACTAGCAACCAACAATGTTGCTCCCGCAACTTGGGACTGGTGCTGGCCGGTTTTTAACTGCCTCGAGGCATAGGGCGGCCCCGATCCTCAGGTGACTCACCTCTCCTGGCCTGGAGGCAAGCACTCCTCCTGTGGGAACTTAGTTCCCTCCGCCTCTCTGCCCTGAGCCTCTGCAGCCTCCCGTTGCTCGGTCCCTGCTCTGCAGCCTCCCGTTGCTTGGTCCCTGCTCCTGCCCACCTAGCAGTTCGAAAGCACGTCAAAGTGCAAGTAGATAAATAGGTACCACTCTGGCAGGAAGGTAAACAGCGTTTCTGTGCGCTTCTCTGGTTCGCTAGAAGCGGCTTAGTCATGCTGGCCACATGATCAGTAAAGCGAGATGAGCACCACAACCCCAGAGTCGGCCACGACTGGACCTAACGGTCAGGGGTCCCTTTGTTGTTGTTTAGTCGTTTAGTCGTGTCCGACTCTTCGTGACCCCATGGACCAGAGAACGCCAGGCACCTCTGTCCTCCACTGCCTCCCGCAGTTTGGTCAAACTCATGCTGGTAACCTCGAAAACACTATCCAACCATCTCGTCCTCTGTCACCCCCTTCTCCTTGTGCCCTTCATCTTTCCCAACATCAGGGTCTTTTCCAGGGAGTCTTCTCTTCTCATGAAGTGGCCAAAGTACTGGAGCCTCAGCTTCACGATCTGTCCTTCCAGTGAGCACTCAGGGCTGATTTCCTTCAGAATGGATTGGTTTGATTTTCTTGCAGTCCATGGGACTCTCAAGAGTCTCCTCCAGCACCATAATTCAAAAGCATCAATTCTTCCGCGATCAGCCTTCTTTATGGTTCAGCTCTCACTTCCATACATCACTACTGGGAAAACCATAGCTTTAACTATAAGAACCTTTTTTGGCAAGGTGATGTCTCTACTTCTCAAGATGCTGTCTATGTTTGCCATCGCCTTTCTCCCAAGGAGCAGGCGTCTTTTAATTTCGTGGCTGCTGTCACCATCTGCAGTGATCATGGAGCCCAAGAAAGTGAAATCTCTCACTGCCTCCATTTCTTCCTCTTCTATTTGCCACGAGGTGATGGGACCAGTGGCCATGATCTTCGTTTTTTTGATGTTGAGCTTCAGACCATATTTTGCGCTCTCCTCTTTCACCCTCATTAAAAGGTTCTTTAGTTCCTCCTCACTTTCTGCCATCAAGGTTGTGTCGTCTGCATATCTGAGGTTGTTGATATTTCTTCCGACAATCTTAATTCCGGCTAGGGATTCATCCAGCCCAGCCTTTCGCATGATGAATTCTGCATATAAGTTAAATAAGCAGGGAGACAATATACAGCCTTGTCGTACTCCTTTCCCAATTTTGAACCAATCAGTTGTTCCATATCCAGTTCTAACTGTAGCTTCTTGTCCCACGTAGAGATTTCTCAGGAGACAGATGAGGTGATCAGGCACTCCGATTTCTTTAAGAACTTGCCATAGTTTGCCGTGGTCGACACAGTCAAAGGCTTTTGCATAGTCAATGAAACAGAAGTAGATGTCTTTCTGGAACTCTCTAGCTTTCTCCATAATCCAGCGCATGTTTGCAATTTGGTCTCTGGTTCCTCTGCCTCTTCTAAATCCAGCTTGCACTTCTGGGAGTTCTCGGTCCACATACTGCTTGAGCCTTCCTTGTAGAATTTTAAGCATAACCTTGCTAGTGTGTGAAATGAGTGCAATTGTGCGGTAGTTGGAGCATTCTTTGGCACTGCCCTTCTTTGGGATTGGGATGTAGACTGATCTTCTCCAATCTTCTGGCCACGGCTGAGTTTTCCAAACTTGCTGGCATATTGAGTGTAGCACCTTAACAGCATCATCTTTTAAAATTTTAAATAGTTCAGCTGGAATACCATCACTTCCACTGGCCTTGTTATTTGCAGTGCTTTCTAAGGCCCATTTGACTTCACTCTCCAAGATGTCTGGCTCAAGGTCAGCAACCACACTACCTGGGGTATACGAGACATCTATATCTTTCTGGTATAATTCCTCTGTGTATTCTTGCCACCTCTTCTTGATGTCTTCTGCTTCTGTTAGGTCCTTTCCACTTTTGTCCTTTATTATGGTAATCTTTGTACGAAATGTTCCTTTCATATCTCCAATTTTCTTGAACAGATCTCTGGTTCTTCCCATTCTATTGCTTTCCTCTATTTCTTTGCATTGCTCGTTTAAGAAGGTCTTCTTGTCTCTCCTTGCTATTCTTTGGAAATCTGCATTCAGTTTCCTGTATCTTTCACTATCTCCCTCGCATTTTGCTTGCCTTCTCTCCCCCGCTATTTGTAAGGCCTCATTGGACAGCCACTTTGCTTTCTTGCATTTCCTTTTCATTGGGATGGTTTTTGTTGCTGCCTCCTGTATAATGTTGCGAGCCTCCATCCATAGTTCTTCAGGCACTCTGTCCACCAAATCTAAATCCTTAAACCTGTTCCTCACTTCCACTGTGTATTCATAAGGGATTTGATTTAGATTGTATCTTACCGGCCCAGTGGTTTTTCCTACTTTCTTCAGTTTAAGCTTGAATTTTGCTATAAGAAGCTGATGACCTGAGCCACAGTCAGCTCCAGGTCTTGTTTTTGCTGACTGTATAGAACTTCTCCATCTTTGGCTGCAGAGAATATAATCAATCTGATTTCGATGCTGCCCATCTGGTGATGTCCATGTGTAGAGTCGTCTCTTGTGTTGTTGGAAAAGCGTGTTTGTGATGACCAGCTTGTTCTCTTGACAGAACTCTATTAGCCTTTGCCCTGCTTCGTTTTGATCTCCAAGGTCAAACTTGCCAGTTGTTCCTTTTATCTCTTGACTCCCCACTTTAGCATTCCAATTCCCTATAATGAGAAGAACATCCTTCTTTGGTGTCACTTCTATAAGGTCTTGTAAGTCTTCATAGAATTGGTCAATTTCAGTTTCTTCAGCACCAGTAGTTGGTGCATAAACTTGGATTACTGTGATGTTAAAAGGTCTGCCTTGGATTCGTATCGAGATCATTCTATCATTTTTGAGATTGCATCCCAGTACAGCTTTCGTCACTCTTTTGTTGACTATGAGGGCCACTCCATTTCTTTTACGGGTTTCTTGCCCACAGTAGTAGATATGATGGTCATCCGAACTGAATTCGCCCATTCCCGTCCATTTTAGTTCACTGATGCCCAGGATGTCAATATTTATTCTTGCCATCTCATTTTTGACCACCTCCAACTTACCCAGGTTCATGGTTCTTACATTCCAGGTTCCTATGCAATATTTTTCTTTACAGCATTGGACTTTCCTTTCGCTTCCAGGCATATCCGCAACTGAGCATCCTTTCGGCTTTGGCCCAGCCGCTTCATCAGCTCTGGATCTACTTGTACTTGTCCTCCGCTCTTCCCCAGTAGCATGTTGGACGCCTTCCGACCTGAGGGGCTCATCTTCCAGCGTCATAATTTTTATATGCCTGTTGTCTTTGTCCACGGAGTTTTCTTGGCAGGGATACTGGAGTGGCTTGCCGGTTCCTCCTCCAGGTGGATCACGTTTGGTCAAAACTCTCCACTTCTTTTGAGAACACTGACATTTTGGATTTAGAAGGTTTTAACAATGTATTTGGATGGCATGCATATCTGTGGTACAATAAGGTCAAAGCACATAAAGCATTTAAAAACCATATTGTCAGGAAAGCATTGTTTAATGTTTGGATAAGATATAAGGATTTATTGGAAAATAAAACCCCAAGGTGGCTGTCACCAATGGAAGTGAAAGCTCTGAAAAAGCTCAATATGGAGGTCAAATGGCCAAAATATTGGGAAATTTTGGAACAAGATGGAGATAGATTGAAACTGCAGAGTTTTGAAAAACTAAAAAACAAAGTGCGAGACTGGCTTCATTATTATCAGATAATGGAGGCATACAATTTGGACAAGAAAATCGGCTTCCAGGTGGAAAAATCAAAATTAGAAACAGAATTGTTAGAACCCAAAACTAAGATTTTGTCAAAGATATATAACTTGCTGTTGAAATGGAGTACTCAGGATGAAACGGTGAAATCTGTTATGATTAAATGGGCACAAGACGTTGGACATAACATAATGATGACTGACTGGGAACAGTTATGGACCACAGGTATGAAGTTTACGGCATGCAATGCCTTAAGAGAAAATATTATGAAAATGATATACAGGTGGTACATAACCCCAGTCAAGCTTGCAAAAATCTATCATGTGCCTGATAATAAATGTTGGAAATGTAAAGAAACTGAAGGTACATTCTTTCACCTTTGGTGGACGTGCCCAAGGATTAAGGCTTTCTGGGAGATGATTTATAATGAACTAAAAAGGTATTTAAATATACCTTCTTGAAGAAACCAGAGGCCTTTCTCCTGGGCATAGTCGGCCAATCGGTGTTAAAAAAGGATAGAACTTTCTTTATGTATGCTACAACAGCAGCAAGAATACTTATTGCAAAGCATTGGAAGACACAAGACTTACCCACACTGGAGGAATGGCAGATGAAATTGATGGACTATATGGAACTGGCGGAAATGACTGGCAGAATCCGTGACCAGGGAGAAGAGTCGGTGGAAGAAGATTGGAAGAAATTTAAAGACTATCTACAGAAATATTGCAAAATTAATGAATGTTAGAATGATGTTGGATTGAAGTTAAGTGGTTTCTAGCTGTACAGGTACAAAAGAATATGGAAAAATTGGTTTTATAAAAAAAACAAAACCTCTCCACTATGACCTGTCCATCTTGGATGCCCTGCTCGGCATAGTTCATAGCTTCTCTGAGTTCTTCAAGCCCCTTCGCCACGGCAAGGCAGTGATCCATGAAGGGGGTCCCTTTACCTTTACCTTATGCTGCATTAAATGCGCCATTGGCCTGATCCAGCAGACTCTTCTTATGTTCTTAGGGGTGTGAGGCTTGTCAGCCCCAGCAGTAACTCAGCTCTGTTCCCACCTCACCTGGAATCTCTTATTCTCATGAAAGCAGCCCAGGTGGGCAATGACATCCACTTTGGAGAGAGAATACACCTGCCTCCTGCAGCCAAGGTGCCATTTCCCCTTTGGAACGGCTGATGCCCTCTTTCTGAATGCCCCAGGCACAAGGCCACCCAGACTCAAGGCTGGCATCGGGTCTCCTGGGTTTTGGCTGCACTTCCCCTGGTGCTTGGAAGCGCCTGGAGGCAGCTCCTCATTTCTGCGATTCTTTGCATTTTGACAACAGAAGGGCCACGCCTGGGACTCAGCAGAGTCATCATCGCCTGCCTACAAATGGGGTGCTGGCTTGGAAAGCTTCCTCTCCAGTCACTCAGATTCTCCAGCCTTTCCCAACCAATCCATTCCTTTCTGCTTTCTGTTCATTCTGGGTGGAGCTGAAAGATTTCCAAATGTGCTGTCAGTTCCTTCTGCATGGGATATAAAGCCTCCTGGGCGCAGGCAGGGGACTCAGACCTGCTTCGCCATGAAGTCCATCGTCCTCTGCCTGGTTGCGCTCCTTGCATTCTGGGGTGAGCAGGCTCCTGTGTCTGGTCAGATGCCTCTAGGTGAGTGTCTCCTTGGACTCCCTTGTCCCAATCTCCATCTTTCTAAGCCCCCATGGGAAACACTCTCTAAGGCAGCCTCCCTCTGAATTGGCTGCAAATCCCATGAGCCTCTGCATCTTCTGGCTGTTCTGGCTTGGGGCTGATGGGAGGTGGAGTCTGGTGGGCACCAAGTTGAGAAACCCCTCATGGGTAGCTGAAAGAGTCCTGATTTCCAGCATCCACCAAATGAGCTGGCGTTGTGACCTCCTTTCACGACATCCTCATGAGGGATCCTTCGACCAGGTTTCTCCCACTCCTTTCTAGCAGGTCAGATAACAGCTTCTTTTTCTCCCTCTCCTGGGAGGAAACATCGCTCACTCCCTGCTCTTGGGTGAAGGAGTCCTGGCAGGCAGGCATCAGATCTGGCCCTGAGACGTCATGGTTGAAGTTTGGATGTGCATGCTAGAGAGAGGCGTCCCCACCAACCACAGGCTGACTCAGCACCCAGCCTTCCTCTGCTCCTGTGAGACACATGGTGTGAAGCTGAGAGGAGGAGGAAAGACCCCACATGGTGTGTCCATGCCCCTGTGGCAAGCTGGGCTCCCTTTCTGCTTCCTGGGACAGGTGGACACCTACGTATATTGGCAGTTACCTGGCTTGGGTTGTCCCTTTTTATTGATGCTGTTGCATTTTGATCTGTTTCTTTGTATCTGAATCTGTACTGTTTGTTTGTTTGTTTGTTTGGTTGGTTGGTTGGTTGGTTGGTTGATAGATTGATTGATAAAACATTTGACAGTGGTTTACATCAATATAAAGACATAAAACCAGGCAATATAATAATTAAAAGTTGAAAAGTTGAAAGCAAAAAAACAAATTAGAAACAAACACCAGCAGACCATTGTGGGGGAAAATATTCTCAATTGCCTGTACAGGCCTGGAAGAATAGAAAAGTTTTCAGCAGGTGTTTAGATGTTGGCACAGAAGGCTCCTGCTGAGTCTCCAGTGGCAGGGAGTTCCACAGGAGTGGGCCAATGACAACTTGGTTGTTGTCAAAGAAGCCCCAGCAACCCAAGGAATGATCAAAGGTGCTCCTGCAGATGATCTCAGTGATCGAGCTGGAATATCAGGGTTCAGGTGATCCCTGAGGGATCCTGGACCCAAGTTGTTCAGGGCTTTGCCAGTAATACAAGGAGCTTGAACCTGGTTCCACAGCAGATGGCACCTTCATGGCTCAGCTTCCAGAGCTGGTTGAAGAAGCAACTCTTTTACCTGGCTTTTTGACACTTGAGATGTGTGTTTTTAGGACCCACCTTGTTTTTATGATTGCGAGTTGTTTTAGACTGTTTATAAGACTGTGCTTTAATTTTTCAACCTGTAATTAATCAACATGTCATTAACAAACAATAACTATAATTATACCTCTTCTGTGATGGCAAAGTCCGGCTCCTCTGAGATCGAATAAATTACGTTAGAGGTGCAAGGGTGGAAAGGTTAGCTCTGTGCAAAGAACTGGAGAGAGCAAGTTTGAGGGTGTGTAGGATCCTCGGCGTGTCATTTCTTAGCTGTCCTCCTCACTCAGGCACCTCTGTGGAAAGGCTGCCCACAACCTTTCAGCCGTTGGGACCGTTTGTTACCAAACCTGGTCGGGGAGAGAGAGTTTCCTCTCTGTCCTGCTCACCACTTTCACCATCCTCCTGAGCTTGCTGTGATTCTGCAATCCTGGGCAATATAAGGGAGCAGACCAGGTTGGGCAGTGGACTCTCCCCTTAGCCTGACCCACCATGAAGTCTGGTGCTCTTGTGATCCTTGTGGGGCTCCTCACCCTCTGGGCTGAGCTGACACCCGCCTCTGCTCAGAGGCTTCCAGGTAAGGGATCCTGTCTCCTCTCTCCTTACAGGCGCATGTGTCAAAAGCATTTCTCTGGGAATTGTTGAGAGAAGTGCAGTCAGGAAAATTCCTTCAGGAAGCCGGGGAAGCTCAGGGGAACAGCACTTGAGTTGCATGCAGAAGGTGTGGGGTTTCATTCCCCACTGGGAATGCTGAAATCCAGTGAGAGGGGGCATTCTGCCACTCTGCTGTGCCACTGGACACCTCCCACCAGCCAAGGTGCCACTGGATTCCCCCTCTTGCCAAGGTGTTCCTTATATAATTTGCTCCCCTTCCCAGCAATGAGACTTTGCCAGGGCTTCTATGAATAAATGGGTTGAGTGTGTGTCTGTGTGTGCGCGCGCGCCAGACTGGGTCTTTGACCCGGGTGACAGAAAGCCTAGCTTTGGCCCTTTCTTGTGGAGTGTTCCTTCAGCCTCCTCTCCTCTCCCCCCTCATTGGGAGTCCTCCAGACAGCTGCTACCACTGCCCCGGTCTCTGAGCTGCCCCTTCTGCCCCAGAGAGAGGTGCCTCCCCACACTGCCCCACAACGGCCTGGGAAGAGGATACACCAGGCCTTAGTGGCCCAACAGAGACTGGTAGAAGGTGTACATGAGTCCAGCACCTTACCTTGGCAGGCAGCAGCAACAGCAGCAGTGGGCACTCAGCTCCCAGGCAGGTCTTGACCACAGCGAGCACAAGAAAGACCAAAGCAGTGACGGCTAGATGGCCGGCTGGCCTGCCACTTGTCTTTTTTTTTTTTTTAAAGATATTTATTAAAATTTTCAAGATATTACAAAATGAAAAAAGAAAAAAGAAAAATACAAAATAAAAATAGTTAAAAACAACTCAATCTTTCCATTACTTATTTTTCATTAGCTTGTTTCCCGGACCTCCTCGCGCCTCCCTTTTTTGTATTCCAGTTCAGTTTGTTAGTTCAGCAAATCCTTCCCCTCTTTGTTTATCCTAGTCTTTAATCTTAAAATATTGTAACATTAAATTTTTACCTATTCGTAATCCATTTTTCATATTCCCTTATAGTATTACAGCTAAAAACCACTTAATTTCTATCCAACATCATTCTAACATTCATTAATTTTACAATATTTCTGTAAATAGTCTTTAAACTTTTTCCAATCTTCTTCCACCGACTCTTCTCCCTGGTCTCGGATTCTGCCAGTCATTTCCGCCAGTTCCATATAGTCCATCACCTTCATCTGCCATTCTTCCAGGGTGGGTAGATCTTGTGTCTTCCAGTACTTTGCAATAAGTATTCTTGCTGCTGTTGTGGCATACATAAAGAAAGTTCTATCCTTCTTTGACACCGATTGGCTGACTATGCCCAGGAGAAAGGCCTCTGGTTTCTTCAGGAAGGTATATTTAAATACCTTTTTCAATTCATTATAGATCATCTCCCAGAAAGCCTTAATCCTTGGGCACGTCCACCAAAGGTGAAAGAATGTACCTTCAGTTTCTTTACATTTCCAACATTTATTATCAGGCAAATGATAGATTTTTGCAAGCTTGACTGGTGTCATGTACCACCTGTATATCATTTTCATAATATTTTCTCTTAAGGCATTACATGCCGTAAATTTCATACCTGTGGTCCATAACTGTTCCCAGTCAGCCATCATTATGTTATGTCCAACGTCTTGTGCCCATTTAATCATAGCAGATTTCACCGTTTCATCCTGAGTATTCCATTTCAACAGCAAGTTATACATCTTTGATAAAGTCTTAGTTTTGGGTTCTAACAGTTCTGTTTCTAGTTTTGATTTTTCCACCTGGAAGCCGATTTTCTTATCCAAATTGTATGCCTCCATTATCTGATAATAATGAAGCCAATCTCACACTTTGTTTTTCAGTTTTTCAAAACTCTGCAGTTTCAATCTGTCTCCCTCTTGTTCCAGAATTTCCCAATATTTCGGCCATTTGGCCTCCATATTGAGCTTTTTCAGTGCTTTCGCTTCCATCGGTGACAACCACCTTGGGGTTTTATTTTCAAGTAAATCCTTATATCTTATCCAGACATTAAACAATGCTTTCCTGACAATATGGTTTTTGAATGCTTTATGTGCTTTGACCTTGTCATACCATAAATATGCATGCCATCCAAATACATTATTAAAACCTTCTAAATCCAAGATGTCTGTGTTTTCAAGAAGCAGCCATTCTTTCAACCAGCAAAAGACTGCTGATTTATAATAAAGTTTAAGGTCCGGCCTGCCGCTTGTCTGTCCATTCCCAACAGCAAGGGCTGGTGGACTGCCTGGCTGGGCTCCCTCACCCACCTGCTGACTCTGAGGCCGCCTCAGTTCCTGGCAACCAGCATCCCCCAGCCAGCCCCGGATGCACCTTTTGCCTGTGGAGCTTATAGCCAGGGCTGCTGCAATAAAGAGCTGTGCAAGCCTTTGGGAGGCAGAGACACAAGAGGGAGGGAAGGAAAGAGAGACCGAGGCCAGTGTTGCCCATCATTCAAGGCACCCCAGGGTGCCACAACACACTGGTTGAAAACCACTGCCCGAAGCCAATGATTCAGCTCTCCTGTTCAGATTTTCAAAGAACAGGAAATCTGATTCTCCTTATTTTTGTGATTGTAAGTTGCCGATCAGAAGGTTGGCGGTTCGAATCCCCGTGACGGGGTGAGCTACCGTTGCTCGGTCCCTGTTCCTGCCAACCTAGCAGTACGAAAGCACGTCAAATGCAAGTAGATAAATAGGTACAGCTCTGGCGGGAAGGTAAACGGCGTTTCCGTGCGCTGCTCTGGTTCGCCAGAAGCGGCTTAGTCATGCTGACCACATGACCTGGAAGGTGTACGCTGGCTCCCTCAGCCAGTAAAGCGAGATGAGCGCCACAACCCCAGAGTCGGCCACAACTGGACCTAACGGTCAGGGGTCCTTTAACCTTTTAAAGTTGCTTCAAACTGCTTTTAATCTTTTGTTTTAAGGTTGTAATGTTCCCTGGGACCTTAGGGTGAAGAGCAGGTGACTAATGATAAGGGAACAAGGAGTTCCCAATCCACATTAAGATGAGGCGAGGATGTCCATTAACACATTGCCTCTGAAATGCCAGCCCTTTTCTGACACCCCCTCCCCGCTGTGGCCAAGAGGAGCACCCCTTGGGAGCAGCAGACTTGAGGGGTGCAGATTTGGTGCCCCCTGCTGGGCTTCTGAGGCAGGGCAGGAGGAACACTTGCCTTTGCAGCCCAGACCCACTTTCAGGTAAGCTGCAGGAGAGACTTAAGGACACACCTTGTACCTAGAAGCAAGCCCCGCCCATCTCCCAGGAAATGATGAAGATATGAACAGGATGCTGGCATAGAGAAGACAATAGCTTGATCCTGCAAGCTGCTCTTACATTCTTTCTTTAAGTGGCTGAAGCTTTCAATTTTCACAGCGGAGAGGAGTTGAAATGCCTTCTTTTCCAACACCGACGAAGGGCGTGGTAATCCATTTCCCTCTCTCTCTTTTTCTTTCTCTCTCTCCCTCTTTCTCTCTTTCCCCATCACAGTGAAGCCTGGCACCTGTCCTACTCTGATCCAAAACAATGACACCCAGTGCGGCCAGTTCTGCTCCAGAGACAACAGCTGCCCAGGGAGTGAGCGCTGCTGCCAGACCGGCTGTGGGCAACAGTGCATGCGCCCACGTGAGGGTAAGCAGCAGCCCCTCTTTCTGGGGGGAGAAATGAAGTCGGGAACCTCCCATCTGCCTCCTCTTCTGCCCCAGATATGCTCTCAACCACCCATCCATACACACAAGGGGGTTGGTGCATATCCTGCCTGGATCCATGTAGTGCTGGTGTGTGACAACAGTTCAGAGTCAGCAAGAGGCATTGCAGTGCAGAATCCCACCCGCCATGGCGTGGCTTGCCCAGACATGGCAGCTGACCTCCACCTGGCGCATGGTGTGGCTTGCCCAAACATGGCAGCTGACCTCCACCTGGCGCACTGCCAGCAGGGTCCAACCAACAGGTGGGAGGCAGGCTGTGCACAGCCTCAGTCCAGAGACTCACCTGCTCTCAGGTGTGCAAGCAGGTCAGATCAGGGCAACCCATTCATTTCAGGGGAAGATCTCTATTCTCACATGCAAAGAGGAACTGGCTCCTTTCTCTGCAAGTATTAATGTGGGGTTTTTTAAAAAAAGAAAACAGACCTATTCTATACAACCCTTCATCCGAAGATCACAGTGCGGTTCAGAAGGACTGACAAAGAACCAAAAACATGCATAAATTCAAAGCTGAACTACCTCAGTTGTGTAAAGATTGAAGAAAACACTCAATTCCATGATTTGCAAATTAAATTCTTACTTAATTTGTGCAGCCAGATAGCTGTCGGTCCTAGACAAGATTTCAGCTGAAGAAAATATGCCTAATATCAGAAAATGTTGGGAATGCACTCAGTGTTGGCTTGCGGCCCCATAAATGCTTCTGAATACCAGTCATGGCAAACACAGGAGGGAAGTAAGTGTTCTTCATCTGCCTGGCCACTGTGAGAACAGGATGCTGGACCAGGTGGGCCACTGGCCTGATCCAGCAGATGCTCTTCTTAGGTTCTCCTTTCATCCCCAGTCTACCCTGGATACTGCCCCAGGCTGAGCCCCCAGCCAGGCCGGGCAGCGAACTGCTCAGCGACTTGCAACAATGACCAGGACTGTGGCTCAGTCTACTTGCCACGCAAGAAGTGCTGCAGCAATGGGTGCGGGAAGACTTGCCAGCTGGCTGAAGAAGGTATCTCTTGGATGCGGGAGATATGGGGACCTGATGGGGAGGGCAGTTGTGTGTACATGTGCGTGGCTGGCAGAGGATTTTGCCAAGGAAGAGGTGCTGGGGCTCACTCAAAGAGTCTCCTCTCCCTCATGCCAAGCGGTGTGGTGGTGGCAGCTGCCAGTGGTAGGATCATAGAAGGGGAAATGAACTCTGCACATGCTCAGGAGTTTGTTTCCTCTTGATGATATCCTCACACGTTCCAGAGTGAGTCCTGGCATTCAAAACAAAATTCCATCACACTACTGACTGCTGTCCCCTTCTCTCCATCTCCTTTTTCCAGAGCACCCTGGCGTGTGTCCCAAAAGGGAACTGGTAAATACCTTTGCCCCCTGCAATGACACCTGCAGAGATGACCGAGACTGCCCCCTCACCCAGAAGTGCTGCTTCACTATGTGCAGCCGGGGCTGCCTGGACTCAGGTACTGGCAAAGCCCCTGACCCCTTCTCCCCCCACCCTCTCTTCTCTGGGCACCTAAGTGCCCTGGAGACTGAGAACGTCTCCCCATGGACCTCCATCCGTTCTGCCTCCAACAGTTCGCAGTGACAGGTGCCAGTTGCCGCCCAAAACTGGACGATGTTTAGCAGCCTTCCGCCGTTACTACTACAACCCATCGCAGAAGAAGTGCGTCCTGTTCACCTATGGTGGCTGTGAGGGTAACAGCAACAACTTTGAGACAAAAGAGGCATGTGAGGCAGCCTGCGGGAAAATCAGCCCAGGTACCAAGTTTGGGACCCACCAGAAATTCATATTCATGGCTTCATTGATTGTGTTTATATATCCCCATGTCATCCAAGGAGCTGAACTTCCCCTTCCTCATTTAACCCCAACAACAACCCCGTGAGGTAGGCTAAGCTCAAGGAAGCCACTGGCCCAAGGTGAGGTTCATGGATGAGTGGGGATTTGAACCCGCATATCTCTCATGTCCTAGTTCAACACTCTGACCCCTAGGCAAGGCAGGAGAGTCCCTCTGGGAAGGCGGGCAACCCCATCAAAGAAGCTGGCCAGAAGGGGTCCAGAGTTCTGGGAGGATTGGGTACCCGGCTCTGTTCTGGACTTTATGTTTCATATAATTGAGGGGATGGAGCGGTTGGGATTTCTTAGCTGGACAGAGGCTGGATGTGGGTGTTGGAAGCCACAGGAAGGGAGAGGGCTGCTCTTGGGCTCGGATCCTGCTTGCTGATTTCCCCAAAGCATCTGGCTGGCCCTGTGAAAACAGGACGCTGGACCAGATGGGCCATTGGCATGATCCAGAACCTTATGTTCTTCTTAATATTATTACTTTGTGCCATAATCTTTATATGGACATTTGTGATTGGGGCAGTTTGAAATTTCAAGATAAGAGATGGTATCTGAAATAGGACACTAAAACTTTGGATTCAAAAGCCAACGGTGGGAAGCCTTGTAAGAATGAAGGTGGCCTTAGAAATTCTGACACCCCAATTTCAAAGTCCTTCTCTGGGAGGTGGAAATGACAGTTTGGCAGCTGCGGTGTATTTGACGTGTTGCCATCAGGAGTCATTAAAAGAGACGACACTCCTTGCAAATCCCCAGAATAAGGAGAAGTCGTGTATTAGCTCCTTGTTTGGTGATAAGCAACCTTTGCCATAGGGTGACTCCTAGTCTGTGACTCCTAGTCTGTGCCCAAAATCATATGTTTTTGCAGCTCTTGGGAGGAGGGGTTGGGGTTGGAGCATTTGGCAAAGGGTTGAGAGGCGAGAGGACTGCAGAGATTTGAGCCAGCAGCCACAAGGAGGTCCCCAAATTCAGTCCCTGAGCTGGACTGGCCCAAAGAGCCCAGGCGCAATTCCTCTCTGCCTGGAAGGAGAAGAGTCTGTGATTCCTTCCTTCTAGAGAGGGGGGGGGGCTTCTTATGGAGGAATGCATGCAGGGAAAATGAAGTTGGAATTAAAAACTCTTGACACCTTCCTGCCCTAAGAAAAACCTCTCTGCTTCCTCTTTCTCCACCTTCTTTGGCCTCAGAGGTCTGCAAGCTGCCAAAGGACCCTGGCCCATGTGAGGCTTATTCACAATTTTACTACTACAACTCAGTCACCAGGAAGTGTGAAATATTCGTCTATGGGCTCTGCGGGGGGAATGGCAATCGGTTTCACACCAAACTGGAGTGCATGATGGTCTGTGGGCAAACAAGTAAGATTCTTGTCTCCATGTGTGTCTGCGCTTCTCTGTCTCTCTATCTATCTCTGTCTCTAAATATTTATAAGTGTGCATGTGGAGGGCAGGGAGCAGACTGTGAAGGTCCACAGGGTTCTCTCTCAGCTCCCTTGCTGGTCTCATCCTGCCCTACCCATGGGTGAGTTTACCAATGGCTTCAAGTAACAAGAAAGGAGATTCCGACTTCTGGCAGTGAGAGCTTTTTGACAGAGGAACGGTCTCCCTTGGGAGGTGGTGAAATCTCCTTCTTTAGAGGTTTATAAGCAGGGTTTGGCTGTCTGTCTGTGAGGAATGTGGTTCCTTCTTTAAGGTGGTTGGGCTAGGTGACCCTTGGGGGTCCCTTTCAACTCTACAATTGTATGATTCTGTCATTGCTGCTGCCTGCCCTAAGGGCCAGTGCTCAATTACTTGGCTGCCTCCCCCTTGACTCTTTTTCTTTTCTTCCCCCAGAAAACTCCACTGAGGAGGACTGAGTCCCTCAACCTGATCACCTTGTCTGAGAAGACCCCAGCCCCAGAGCAGACATCAATGTGTTGCAATGCCCCCCTCCTTCCATCTCTGCGGAGGCTGCTGTGGGATCATCTATCCCCAAATAAAACCTGAGCTTTCTGGCATGTGCTGAGTCTGGTTCTTGCATCACATGACATGAGGCCTCAAGGGCAGCCCCACATCCACTGCTGCTCCAGTGGGGGGAGAGCATCTCTCAAAGCCCCTCAGCTGCTGGGCTGGGGAGATTTGGGCCTGGGGCCTGGAAGGGAAGAGGATAATCTGTGGTTCTCAAACCTTTTTGGGTCACTGCCCCCTTGGTTCCATAAATTCACCCCCAGTTCCCCCTTACCGCACCATATAAAAAACAATATTCAGAGTAGTCGTTTGAGCCAGCTCACTAAGGGAGATAATAGCACTGAAATTCAAACAGTAACCAGTGTAGCAGGGAGTTCCCCAGGCTCGAGCTGGATCATCAAACAAAAGGCTTCGGCCAAGATACTGAACCAAAACAGCAGCCAGGAGGCCTGATCTTTATTGTTGCACCAAAACCTCAAACTACAATGTAAAGGAAGCAGAGAGACGCCCCAAACTGTGGGTGCTCCCGCTTTAAGAGGTTTCTCAAAGTTACCCACAACACCTTGTTACAAACGTCACACATATGTCATAAACATGTCATGGAACAGAAGTGACGTCTGTGCAGAAACCTGATGCCCTGTCACTCTAAATACCCTGCATTCTTGTTCTGAAGTAAAACAAAAGGAAGTGTAAATACCAGTCTGAAGCCGGTTTCGATTGCTTGCTCACACTTTTCACTGACACCTGCAGTACCCGCTGTTAGGGTTAGCTATGGTGCTTCTGACTGGGCGAGTAACCAGATGGCTGAGCAATTAACGGCTCCTGATGGGTCAGCTATTTTATGAATGGGGAAAAGAATGGGAAGACAAAAGATAATAACGAAAGAAAGGGATAGTGGCAATTTTCAGGTTGCACATGTAATTGTGCTTTTGTTCAAACTATACAGATTAAGTAAATCAGCCAAATGGATGAACCTGATCCAAGGATGCCAGCTTTTCAAGATTTGATAGTCATTTGCACCTCCAGCGTCCCCTGCCACCCCCAGTTAATTCCCCACGAGGGGGCACTGCCATGCACTAATAATAATAATAATAATAATAATTTATACCCTGCCCATCTGGCTGGGTTTCCCCAGCTGCTCTTCGCAGCTCCAACAGAATATTCAAAACACAATAAAACATCAGACATTAAAAACTACGCTAAACAGGGCTGCCTTCAGATGTCTTTAGATAGTTGTTTATTTCCTTGACATCTGGTGGGAGGGTGTTCCACATGGCAGGTGCCACCACCGAGAAGGCCCTCTGCCTGGTTCCCTGTAGCTTTGCTTCTCGCAATGAGAGAACCGTCAGGAGGCTCTCGGCGCTGGACCTCAGTGTCCAGGCTGAACAATGGAGGTGGATACGCTCCTTCAGGTATGCTTTGGGAACCACTGCTGTCGAAAGAGGTATTGGCCACTTTTCTTATTCCCAAAGGAGCTCACAATGAAAGAGTTATTTATTATTATTTCTCCAGCCCTTGTGCTCTCTTCCTCCTGCATTCCTAAATACTAAATACTAAATACAAAAATCAGTTCCAAATTTGGAGCACACACAGCACGCTCCCCATCCAGCTTCATATTGTTTTTCAACAATCCGCCACCAGGGGGGAACCTGCTATAGCAACCCCAAGAACGTGCCCCGAGAGACATACAAATCATGTGAAAGCTCAGAATATAAGGCTAAGAATATATGCAAGGAAATTGCATTTTGCTGCTTCAGAAGATAGGACCGGATTCCAACTAAACACTGGAAAAACTTTCGACTGGTAAGAGCTGCATGAACTTTCTCCAGATTCATTTCATTCTCTCTCTCTCTCTCTCTCTCTCACACACACACACACACACAATACACAAACAACACACTGGGACCTTAGAGTTAAGAGAATGTAATTAATAAACATGTATGAGAATGTAATTGATAAAGGAAAGTCTGACTTCCCTGCGATCAAATAAATCATGTTAATGATGGATATAGGAGCCAAATTTTTGAATGCCCCCCCCCCGCAGTCGATGGGCATTGGCATTCAGATGGTGTGCATGCCCCGTGACACGTGATGGATTGTGCAGGGCGGAGCTCGTTCCACTTGGCACCCCTGCACATGCCAGGGTGGAAAGGCTGCCTCTGGGCAAAGCACTGGAGAGGGCCAGGTCGGGGGTGGGCAGGATCCTTGGCTCCCTTGGCCCACTCCTTTGGAATGGCCACTTCCACTGGCAAGTACAACATGCCTTGGTCCAGCCAGGTCTGAGTCTCACACACCCCAGAGAGGGAGACCCAGAAAGGGGCTTTGTGGAGGAAGGAGGGTCTCTCCAACCAGAGCGCCACCATCCCTTTCTCTCTGCTGATGGTACAGCTGGGAACCTCAGAGAAAGGCATCCTGGCTTGCAGAATCTAAGCCAAGAAGCCCCTTTTTCCTTGGGGAGGGGGCATCATTTCAAGCAACTGCCATTTGCCCTGGTCCATCCAGTTCAGAGGGACATAGGCTGAGCACTTCAGTGAGTGAGGAAGACACCAAAAGGGGGCTTTGGAGAGGAAGTCGGGTCTCTCCCAACAGAGCTCCACCATGGATGTAGCCAAAGGAGGGCAGGTTGGGAATCCCCCCCCCCCCCGTAATTAAAAATCAATGCAAAATAACTAACTGAGGTTCTGCCCACACCTAACATAAATCCTGGCTCCGCCCATGGGCTCCACCATCCCTTTCTCTCTGCTGATATTACAGCTGGGAACCCAATGGAAGGACATCCAACTTTGCCAATCTAAGCCAAGAAGCCCCTTCTTCCTTGGGGAGGGTATGTCATTTCAAGCAACTTCAATTTCCCCTGGTCCAGCCACTTCAGAGGTACACAGGCTCCGCCCATGGACTCCACCATCCCTTTCTCTCTGCTGATGGTACAGCTGGGGACCCCATGGAAAGGCATCCTGGCTTGCAGAACCTAAGCCAAGAAGCCCCTTCTTCCTTGGGGAGGGCGGTGTCATTTCAAGCAACCCATCTTCTGTGGAAATGTTATCTACATCTTTGCAGCTGTTGGGATGGTTTGTTACAAAACCTTGTGGGCAGGAGGGTGTGGGGAGAGGTGCCACTCTGTCCTGCCCAGCACTTTCGCCATCTTCCTGAGCCAGCTGTGATTCAGCAATCCTGGACAATGCAAGGCAGCAGACCCCATTGAGCCTAACCTCGATAAGATAAGTCCAAGAACTCCCCCATGAATACCCTCCCGCCCCAAGTTAAGGCTTAAAGAGGGAAAGGTAGGGAGGCTCCCTGAGCCAACAGCCTGGACACCGGTTTTCCAAACTTTACCTCTACCTTTATTTCTACAATAAAGTGCCCAATAAGGGAAGCTTTCAACCTAGAGAATGGTGTTTACAAGACAGAGCTATAAAGAGCTGGGAATTCCCCTCATCAAAGCGGCTGAACCCTCTACAAGAGGAAGGCAGGTGAAAATCTCACAATATTTTAAACCGAAAACAGACAAAATAAATAATGCTGACAAACGACACCCCCACGAATGGTCCATAGACCGTACCAGGTACGGGGAGCTAATGGAAACAGACGAAGAAGGGGTGGGAGTCAGTCTGGCAATGGAAATAAAACAAGTTGCCATAGAAGATGAAACCTCAGTGAATCAACCGGGGCTGGAGCAGGAACAAGAGTCACAAGAGGAAAACCCAGTAATTAAGACAGATGAGCCCTCCCAGGGACCAGGGCCCGGGGAGAAGACGGGGTTTCACACTGTGACGAATGGGGACCCGGAGGACACAAGAGCCCAATATCTGGACTTGGAATGCCTCCCCTACATACTAACAGGGCTATATAATGATCTGTTAAATGAACAGAAGTTGCAGATAGGCAGAGATCTGGGACACATCAAAGACTTCCTCTCAGAATGCTTGGGCCTACTTACCACTTTGACTGAAATAACTAGGAGAATAGACAACTTGCATTCATATAAAATTCTCTCTAGCACACCAAACGATAACACCAGTAAGGAAAATAAAACCCGACATAATGTGGAAAAAAGGAAAACATCTAGGATCAAAGCAAACCAGAAGGGAAACTTAATTGACCCTAAGAAACCCCTCTTAAGGGGAAGTGCCCCAGGAATAAAGAGAAGAAGCCCAAGAACGTAAAAATGGGAAGGAAGACAAAGCTCCCATCTCGAACAAAGAAAATGAACCTCACAAGACTATTTAAGCTATTAGAAAACTCAAATCCAACGAACCCAGCTAACCTAGTCCTGCCACCCCTTGATAAAAGCCCAAGCCCAAGCCCAAATAAAAACCTCCATAAGGCTGGGCTTTTCAATTCAACAGAGGAACTCCATAAGGCTAGGCTTCATAATTCAACAGAGCAGCTAGCGCTCCTGAATGGAACCGCAGGAAAATCAAGAGAAAACCCGACCCCTAAGCAAGAAACTACTCCTAAAACAACATACTCTCGCAGAAATCTAATTCTAAACAAACAAAAACTCATCATCCTACCTGTATACATGCACAAAGATCTCCTTTCTCCAGCACAACAGAGAATTTATATTCTCAAGAAAACTGAATTAGCCGTTAGAGGGTTCGTCCCAGCAGAAAACATCATTAATGTTAAATTTCTGCCATCAGACAAGGACCTAAACAGAGTTGTGGTAACATTCAGAGACTGGCACACAACCAAACTAGTTTCAGACAATAAGGACAAGCTACAAAGGGTTGGATTGCAGGTGACTCGCCTATTCGAAGTGTCCGGTACTCCCACTCCTCTCATCGAAACAATCAAGACTGATAAGATAAAAACAAAGCCGACAATGTCTATGACGGACGAGAACTGTAAGATGCTTCAACTAGAGGCAGACAAAGCCCCAAACCAGCTGGCTAAAAGACCAAAAACC